CTTCATGTTTTTCTTCGAAGAGCGAAAAAAGCACTTTTTTCACGCCTCTCTCATATTTTTGACTTTTCTCCTTCAAAAGTTCATCACATACATGTCTGAGAGTTCGAACGCTATCCAATCATGTACTTTTGAAGCAATTCTGGTTCTTTCTTCTCTTTCGAATTTCTGGCACATTAACTGGGATTAATTTATGAACGCTATTAGATTCTTACTTCGAAGAATTTTTAGGAAAACAGATCATTTGACTGAAAAGTGAAAGCAGAATCAAACACCAGCTATGTTCTGTATTTTCGTTCAACATAGTCTTATATTCGTACAGTGAATACTACCTTAGAGAGCGGAGCGGGCTCATGTTTTTGTGAGACAATTGTAAAATCAAATAAATAATGAGTATGTCCATTTGTTTGACGAAAGCAAGAGTTCTCTTCTATGAACTTCTATTACCACAAAAAATGAAAAAGCGAAAGACATACGTAAATTCACTGCTGACATGAGCACTCCTTCTGTTTTATTTATCACGACAAGAAAAAAAGAGAATGATATGAGATAAACAGACGAATCAACGAATATTGTCAAGAAACCTTTATCACAGTACAGATGCTCGTATCTATATTTCATTTTGATCTGAGGGGTTTTCGATAATATTATTCACCACAAACTTTCCGAAGTTGACCTTATCGATAGTGACCTTGGATTGATAAATGGCTTGAATTTCTTTTGGATGAAACCATTTAGTGCAAATGCAAACATCTGCCACTTGTCCATGCCAGAATGTACGTGGAAAGGATTCTGATGATTTTGAACCGATACATAGAGCATGTGGCATATCCATTTGCATATCTTCCCATTTTTCTGTTCGACTCATAGGATGGCTCCATATCTCACTACGGTTGTTTGGGTCGGTCATATCCAACTGACCTTCCCGTTTTCCATCTATATAGATTTCTTGTTTTTCTCGTGACACTTGTATCACCACATGATACCATCTGAAAGCAGCAACAAGACAGTGTGACACTTTTCTTTGAACTCTTTTCTGTAAAAGAAAGCACCTCTCTTCTAGCATTCGTTCTTCATCGTTCAATTGTCTCTTGTGTCAATATCCATAGAATCTTTCACGAACTGGTTCACTCTACAAAAATGTCAGGGTATTTTTTCCGTTCTAAATATCCCAGTATAGTTGAGGTACTCGATAATTGGGACTTCGTAAAGGTCTAACTCTATTTTGATTAACAGAGAGGTTGATCCTCATGCTATTTACATGCGAAAAAATATTTCAGACGATGCGTTTTTCACAAAGAAAAGGAAGAGCTAGCAACTTTATTAGGGCCGGACTAATTCAAAGCACAGGTATTGCTTTGTTTCTCACTTTATTTCAGGTATTTGAATTCGCTTTGAGCTGCTTTTGGTCATAAATGTGATCTTGATTGTTCAATTTTTGGTCAAGTTTTTATGGTAAAATTGTTGACACTTTTCAATAGGATATTCGAATTCAGCATCTGAACTACTTTGGGTGGGTGTAGGTATTGTCTTCATCCACACCCACACCCACCCGTTTTTGTATAGATAACATTAAATTTCACCGAAATTTTGAGACATTTTTGCGTTATAACCTATGCTACTCAGTAAAATAAGGTTCGAGTGAGCTGAGATTTTTATCACAGTCAACCCTCACCACAACTAACATTTTCTCAAAGTTTCAACGAAATCAAACAAAGTTCGTAGGTTTTCGGAAAAAAACTAGTTTTTCGGTGATTTCGTCACCATTGCATGGTATAAGTTACAAGCAGAGTTTGGAACTCGACCTCGATCATTTAGATGCATCTCGGAAATGTGTCAGAATACCACCAGATGCAGTTTTTTTACGCTTATTCCAAATCTATAAGTTAATCGTCGAAAAACAACGGAAACCTATGGACTTTGTTTAATTTCGTTGAAACTTTGAGAAAATGTTAGTTGTGGTGAGGGTTGACTGTGATAAAAATTTCAGCTCACTCGAACCTTATTTTACTGAGTAGCCTAGGTTATAACGCAAAAATGTCTCAAAATTTCGGTGAAATTTAATGTTATCTATACAAAAACGGAATTTTAAGAAAGTCTTAACGTACTTATTTAGCTCTCTACTTGACAGTTTGAATTGTATATGACAGTATACAAAATCTATCAAATCCAGGAAGAGATACGTTTGACAAAGTAAGGTAAAGAATGCCATACTGGTCATATAGTCGATTTTTCTAGAAAACAAATACATGTGGTAAAAAAGTTTGAAATTCGTGTAGACAAAGTAGTTCAGATGCTGAATTCGAATATCCTATTGAAAAGTGTCAGTAATTTTATCATAAAAACTTGACCAAAAATTGAACAATCAAGATCACATTTATGACCAACAGCAGCTCAAAGCGAATTCAAATACCTGAAATAAAGCGAGAAACAAAACAATACTTGAGCTTTGAATTAGTCGCATCTTTCCAAATTTCGAAACCAGTTGCAATTTAAAAAAAGATAACGTTTACTGTTTATTTCACTCTGAATAATATATATCGCTTTACCTCTTTGTTTGAATTTTTGTTTTTGAATGACAATTGAATTGATACTGATGTGTATTGGAAATCAATATTTGATTGTGAAGTGTTTCTTGTCCATAAAAACCAAGATGAAACCATGAATTTTTCCAATCATACCATGATCCTACTGCTACTTGCCATTCAGTCGAAAATGTTTTATTACAATAAATCCAACATGACATGGCAAAATAATCTGTTTGATAACGAGCAAGATCCTTTACTGGTATAGTAATCATCGATTGCCCATCGAGTTGAATCGATTTACCGAGAAAACAATTGGACTGAATAGGTTGACCTATGATGGAATAATTGTTCTTCGTATAACCAGAAGAGTCATGTCCAATATGGGAAGCATCTTCAAATTTCCAATGGCCGATGCTATTTTCTTTTTTAAAACGTTCAAATCTCTGTTGAAGAAACCATTCATCAATAATAACAGAATGCCAAAGACGACATGTTGTCGAAATGGAAAATAACTCGGAAAGTATAGGAATTCTGTTTAAAATGTTTGTTAACACTTCTGGAGGAAGAGAATTGATTGTTACCATGATGTTTTATTTTTTTTCTTCGTGAACACGTGTCTGAAAAGAAGAAGAAGAATATCGTTCTAGTTTTAACTTTACAAGCAAAGATAAATTTGTTTTTCGACGTCGAGTTTGAGACAGAAAGTTGTTTTTTGAAAGCTCACACTAAAGTTTTTTCCTGCTGTATATATCAAAGTGAAAAACATCATTTATTACTTTTTACACCTGTGTCATTTCATGATTCTTAGATAAAAATTTTATTTCTCATTTTCTTCGACTTCTTGAGCAATACTTTTTTTTATTTCTTCTCCTATCCTCTGATAGAAACAGAAAATAATCTACAACGTGCGCTGATTGAAGTGTAAGCGAACATACAGAGAACAACTTTTCTAAAGAGAACAGAAAGAAAATGTTTTGATAACTTACATTCAAGAAGAGTGTGCTAAACGTACGAGAACTGTTTGATCAAACCAAAAACTGACAGTCTTATACTAACAGTCTGTAAATCAAGTATTCCAAATTCTTCGATTCGTCCTTTGTAAATGTTTCGTAGCTACCTAATAAATTAGTTTGAACTAATCAGATGAGATGAAAGAGGAATCGGTATGAGCGCCAATGTTTTTCAAAGATCCTATGTAGAACCTATGAAGACAATGTTTTAAATTTTTTCCTCGAACGAATATACCGACACGGAGAACTGGAATCGCGGAAAAAGAGGAAGAAGCACCACTAAGTTTCAGCTGAAACAAATATGTTTACATTTGCTTATGAATTGTTTGCTCAAAAATAAAATAGTCATTTAAAAAAAAACATATTTCAGAGAAATCAGCTCAATATTTAATTTAGCAAAAAGTCTTTGTTTTTCTGAGGGATAAAACACCACATGAACAGAACCCAACTGCAGAGAAGATACCCACACCCTCAGCTATCAATTTGAATTGTATAACGAAAATAACTCTCTTATTACCAATATTCGACGACGAATTCCTCAAACACCATTAACTACAGTTGATCGAGCAAAATTGAAAAGTTTACTTGTTCGAATGAATCACTATGAAATTGTTCATAGTCTAGGTTTATTAGATAATGTGTTCACATATCTATGCAATATTGATGACGATTTATCGGACATCAACATACAAACATTTGTTGAACAGCATATGAACACTAGTGCATGTCTCCATGAGGATATTTTCCGACAACTACCATTTTCAACAATTCTACTCGTTCACATAATTGCTTTGTATGAACTAATAGAAGAAGTAGCATTTGATGTTGTACTACGTAAACATGTCAAAGCAGAACTACGTGAAGCAGTGCTCGATGATCAAGGTAAAAAGAAATTTGTTGCTCAAACTTTGGGTAAAGATAATATCTCACCAACATTGAAATCACCAATCGTATAGATAGGAGTACTTTCTGGACTAATGACATTTCTGAAATTGATTTGCAAACGTTTGAGGTCGATGATGACATTCTACTTGAGCATACATATTGTATCATTAATCATGTAGAAAAATACCAACCAGCAACAATCTCAAATGATTCCATTACTACTACTGATAGTCAACAGCTGACGGACACACATATTATCATTGATCAAAATACACAAAGATTTAATGCGAGAACTTGATATTCTAATATGAACTAACCTGTCAAAAAAATAATACTTGACAAATCATCTGGTCAATTGGAACGAAAACTACGCGTATAATTTTACTTTATTTTGATTTCTAAGTAACACAAATAAACAATAAATTGTCACTTTTCAAAAAGAAGGAAAGAATCGTGTAGTTATTTGTAAAGGCAATCGATGTTATCTATATGAATTGAATGATGGCGTGATATTGCTATTATTGTAGTGGTGAAAGCTTCAGCATGCGTTACTGTTGATTTAGATGATATTGTGTATGTAATACCATTTATTCTACCTTTTTTTTTTTGCATGTTTCATTTCTTAGTGGGTGTATATGTGGATGTTAGTAGCAATGAGGCAACAGTGCATTGTAAACACCCACACTCACACCCACCTAATATGGTTGGGTCACAAAATTGACCCAGATTGAAGTCTGATCTTTGGTATTTGGGTAAAGGCAAGGTTTTGAAATGTAGTCACGAAATTTTGGATTTACATGTTCTCTCGAGCGAAAGTGGATGCATACTCTATGTAAAATGCAGGAATACTCAAATTATTCATTGGCGTAACCCAGGTTTTCTGTATTTGTGATTAAATGAGTTTTCACTTTTCTAACATTTTTATTGTACCGAGATGGTAATGACTTTCAATCGACTAAGAGCCGAATCGTTTGATAAAGAAATAAATTGGAATGCTGGACACTGCAAGAATACATCCCCATACACTCCATCCCATTATTCTAGCCGTTAAAACGTTACGTTACATCGTTTTGGTGTCGTTTATATTTGGAAACGGAATATCTTTTGGTATAGGCACGTTCAAAAACTTGCATAACGGGGCCCATCCTTCTTTGACATTGAATACAAGCAATTCGTCTTGTTTATTTTCTTTTATCACTTTGGCATTGTGTAAATCGTGAAGTTGAGGTCCGATTTCACCATAGTCAGTGATCTACTTATTAAATATCTTCCGGACAACGATACATTGTAAGCGTAAAAACCGAATAGGATAAATGGCAATATAATAAAAAATGTCAGAGCCTGCAGGTTCAATTGTATTTTTAAGACTTTCGTGCCATTTTTCACCACTGTCACGTACAGTTAGAATTATTTTTGCTTCAGGATAAGCTCGATGGATTTCCTTGTAAAATAAGACTGTTGGAGCATCTACAGCTGACCCATATCCTTTCAACAATTCATGAAAATCCGTTGCACGTCCATCTAATGCTCTCGCATAGAGTATGCTTTGTTCGGGTTTGTCAAATAACTCAGACATATGATGACAAGGACCAAAGCCAAGTATTTCGAGGGCAGCCTTGAGTGATGAAGTGCCTGTCCGTGGTAATCCAGCTCCAATAACTCGTAGATAATCAGCGTTGTCAGAATCGGATTTTCGACTGTAAGTCTTACTGTGCCCAAACAGGATTTCAAGCATTTGATAATATTTTCTGAAAAATAAACTATACTGGTATACATGAGGAGCTCTTGACAAGAAAAAAAGTGATACATCAGTGATAACTAGTTATACAAAATGCTCTCACAACTGAATCAACAAACATAAAAGTACTCGGGTAGATAAAGAATAACAAAACAAAAAACAACTTTTTTATACGAATAAAGAGCGCATATTTTGACGCGTTACACTGTTTTTTTTCGCTTTTTCAAAATAACGTCATACATTACGAATTAATTCATCTTGTTCTTCACACGCTTTCTTATCGTTTCATGCAGATGCTTCACAATGTATATCAATCGCGTAGTAATGCAAAAGAACAACGATAACAATAGAAGACAACCAGCAACGAGATAAATGCGGGGTGTGGGTGTGGGTGTGGATGTGTGGTGTAGGTGTGGGTGTGTGGTGTGAGTGTGGGTGTGTGGTGTGGGTCTGTGGTGTGGACGTGTGGTGTAGGTGTGGGTGTGGGTGTAAATCTTCTCATCACACCCACACTCACACTCAATTTTAATGCTGAAATTCATGTTCCATAGGCAGGTCTCGCGCTAGGGTGCCAAGATTGAGGAGGAGGTGTGAGGAAGTTCCGAGACAGTCAATATTGAGGGACGCAAATTTGTTTTTCGCATCAGATGTGATGTTAATCTTTCTTTGCTGACCTACCATGTAAAACTTTTTCGCGAAGCGACAACTTTTTGCAACCCTCTTAAAAAATTCGACATTTTATGGCAAAGTTTCAAGAAGAGAACTCGAGTCGTATGTGAGAAAGCTTCTGAATATTGTCGTCATCGAAGGCGACCACTGGCGAACATTGGTCTATATCAAACTGTTTCAGAGGAAAAATTGTCTACAGTAGAATGTTTTTCTATGTTCACTGCCGTTACACAATTGGTATTTTTCGCGAAGTGAAAACATTTTTCAGACGCATGAAAACCTTTTTCTTTCCTCGTGTTGCTCGAAAGGAAAAAATATTGCGATAGCTCTGAGAGATTTCGCCGCCGCCGACGGCCACGCTAGTGACGACTGGTCGGAAATGAAGCGCTTCAACAGGAAGAAACGAGTAAAATTGCGTTAAAAGCAGACAAATCACAGATATTTTTAGGCCGAGCACGCTTGCGTGGTCACGTTTTCGTGAAGCAAAAAATTGGAACATTCCTTCAAATTTTTCTGGCGAAAACGTTCCAAAAAAAATTATCGATTTTATTGGCTACGAATAAATAATTTTCAGTTATTGGCGGATATACACCCCCTACACCTCCTACTTTCGTGGGGCCTACCCATAGGTAAAACACAATTGCAGCCTTTCGGGTATCAAGATATCAACTTTCTTGCAAAAGAATCAATATTCTATGTTTGAAAATTTGAAATATGGTAACCGTTGACTTTTAAAACAACTAGTTTTGAAAATTTGTTTTATGTACATCAATATAGAATTATTCATGAAGTTCGTTTTGACTTGTTTTTTTGTTATTTTCTTCGATGACAACTAAAAATTGTATATGAAACGATGCACATGTATTTTTGTACTTGATAATAGGTAAAATTGCTTTCATGTTACCAACAGTAATACTTAACAGTAGTATTTGCTTACCTCATTTATATGAAAAAAACAACTTTGAATAGAAATCGGCTACTAACAAAAAATTAGCTCATTTGGTTGAACTGATCCAGAGATATTTCATTTTTTTTATTGCAGTGCTTGTTATGGGTGTGGGTGTGGGTGTGTGGGTGTGTGTATGAGTATGTATGTGACAACGGAAATAGCTTACCAGGTATAATAAAATATCCAACAGATTTACCATCAATTTGTTGGCCAACGTCAAAAGATTTTACTTGTTGGAATCATCTTCTATCAAATATAACACGTATACATGTTATTCATATGTAAATTTCTGTTCTTTTTTGTATCTTTGATAAAATTTATTCTTTGGTTTTTTTAGGAATCATTTAGATGTTGGTTACAATGGTATTCCAACAATGGGTTTTATAAATAATATTCTCAATATATATTTTCATCAATATCTTCCTCGTGCAGCTATTTTAGCTGAACAAATTCGTCGTATATCGCTCGATGATTCATTTATATATACGACACATCCTTGGTTGTTAAGTATGTTTTTTGATTGTCCATCAAATTTTGTTCTGGCTGGAATAGAATTAAAATGTCCATCAAATGATGAATTAATGTTAATTGAATGAGCTATACGTACTGGTACAATAGCATGGCATGCTGGTGCAATGAATATGCAATATCAATGGATGAATGAACGTGTATTAAATATTTCTTTCGATTTATCTGTTTCATTAGCAAAACGTTTTAATGTTCCTGTTCCATGTGTAATTAGTCTACGTGATGTACCTGGAATTCCTATAACAATTATTCGATCATTGAATCAATATTTTTCACAATATTGCTCATATAGACTTATGATTACAGTTGGAGTTAATGCTGGTATAAAGAATTTTAATATATTTCAGAAAAAAAAAATATTGACTTATTTGATTTTAGGAATAACTGGTTTTGATATACCAAAGGGTTTATTTCGATGGGGAACAAGTGATGATTCAAATGTACTTGCAACATAGCATTCATTTGGTAGATATTTATTTAAAACAAAAAAACAATAAGAAAGTATAATGATATTATTATTTTAGGTTATCCCAATAATCCTGGTTCAACATTTACAAATCCAGGTGGTTTATCTTTGAATGATCTTGTTATTGTTCCACAGATTGGTGTTGGTTTAGCATTTGCATTTCGTACTGATAATCAAGGTAATTTGAAAATTTCTTTTTTTTTTTTTGTTTTGTTTTCTTATCAAAATTTGTCAGGTCCACCAATGTCAATTGCTGAAATTCATCAAACTTATGAAATTCTTCGTCAATCATATCCAGGTGCTCGAATTATTGCATCATCATTTCAAAATTTTCTTGAAGATATATCGACCATAGGAGATGAACTTGAATTATTTGATCATGATATATCTAATTTATGGTTACAAGGTATTGGATCCTATCCAAAGCGTATTCAGCAATATCAAGCATTACAAAGAGCTTTAAATACATGTTTTGAACGTAATCTATGCACAATAAATGACGATCAATTAATTGATGCTAGTCGATATCTTATTAAAGTTCCTGGTAAATAATTTCTTTTTTTTTTATTTCAAATACTATATGTAACAACTGATTGAAGTCAGAAGCACTTAGTTAAAGTTAGATTTTCCATTTGAGATAAGATTGAACAACTGTCACTAAATTATGTGAAAAAATTCGATACGGTGTTTGTGCAAAGCAAAATAGTGTTTCTTTTACACAATTCTTTGTTCGTGTGTTGGAATATTTTCAACTCAATGTTATTCTAAAACACTGAATTCTGTATGAAATGAAGTAAAATATATAAGTTTAAAAATCTATCGTGTAAGATAAGAAAGTAAAGTTTTTCTCTACATAGTGAATAGGATAGGTTTCAATTGGAATACAAAAAATTGACCAAAATAGAATAGCAGTCAGGGTTCCTATCAATCGAAAACAAAGAACGATTTTTTTCTAAAGAAAAACACTTATTGAGATTAACAGATAGTTGTGGGTGTGGGTGTATCGGTGAGAGAATAGTCATACCCACACCCACACACCCTCTAGTCAACAATTTATCTAAAGTGTTCCTTTTCCAAAAGTATTAACTTTTTTTGGTAAGACTACAAAAGTTCACGATCTAGTTTAGTGATCTAATATTCTGACACCATTGGCAACAAAAATACGCTTAAAAGAATAAAAATCTGGCGGGGGTATAAGCGCCAACTCCTTTGTAATTAGTATTTCGTAAGCTGTTTCGAGTGTCAAAATGGTGGGGTATGGGTGGCTTTAGGTATGAGACTCATCATTCTTTTTACCCACATCCACCCACGCCATTTTCAATCTGTATAGAAGCAGAGGACGAGATGAACGTGTGTCTTCAAGATGGCTATCACTGTCAATAACTTAATTGCGAAAATATAAGTCTCTAAAAGATTGAAATTAAATTGTGTCGTCATCAAAATGGCAAATGATGAATCCTAGTGCATGCAAGTTTAATAGTTGCAACCATAGATTCCATTTACATGTAATAAAATTGTTTGATGTAACTAATCGATTACAAAAGTAGATGGCAAAAAAGCAAAGCTTCAGGCAATAATCATTTACAAACGACTATAATAGTTGCAACAAGTTTTAATTTACTCTTCACTCGACATTCTCAACGGACACGATGTAACCTCCTCATGTGCTAATCTGTTCGCCGTTCAATTTGAAAACGGAAATCACTAAGTTGTATATCCATTCGAATAGGATACGGGCGTGAGCGTGTGAATCTATCTGAAGAGAAGCCTCACACACACTACATCCACTATCAAGTCCTATTACGGCAAGTTACTTAAAAACACTTCTAGTCCTGCTGGCTCCTATTCATAGTCAACGTAATAATTAGTTTCTAACATTTGAAAACGATTCCTCACAATTAAGGTGTATGGTGGATGTAGGTGTAGCGTAAGAGAACACTGGAATACCTACATCTATATCTACATCACACCCCCGCAAAAGAGATGCTGCAACAAGCTGCTACATGAATACCGCATGAATGAATTCGCATGCATAATTAAATTTTATAGCAAGGTATCGCTTCAACTTTTGGAAGCACAACTTATGTGATAGGAAGTTTTATTATACCACTCGATAGAGCTGAGCGAGTTATTTCTGAAAGAAGAACATGAGTTTTGGAATCATTTTCTGGGTGAATCCTGCCAGATAATTCTTGAATTCAAACGTACCTAGCGTAATCCTCTATCGGATATTAATAATATCAATATATAAATGTAGAATGAAGTAGTTAAATATAAATCAAATCAATAAGTTAATACCAATACAAATCGTTCCATAATATCAATACTTTACCACTAATCAATATCAATACTTGCTCGATATCCGATACTCAAGACCATACTCCATAATAGCATAGGCACAAATGTCTGCTTCATTACAAGAAATGAAATTCCAGTTGATCCAACTGTTGTGTTCGATAAAGCTGAAGTCGACGAAGCTGAAGTCGGTGAAGCCAGTGTCAATAAAGTTGAATTTAATGAAGCTGAAGTTGTTGAAGCTGAAATCGGTGCAGCTGAAGTCGGTGAAGCCAGTGTCAATAAAGTTGAATTTAATGAAGCTGAAGTTGTTGAAGCTGAAATCGGTGCAGCTGAAGTTGTTGAAGCTGAAGTCGGTGCAGCTGAAGTTGTTGAAGCTGAAATCGGTGCAACTGAAGTTGTTGACGCTGAAGTCGGTGAAGTCAGTATCAATAAAGTTGAAGTTAATGAAGCTGAAGTTGGTGCAGCGGAAGTTGTTGAAGCTGAAGTCGGTGCAACTGAAGTCGACAAAGGTACTGGTTCTTTAGCAGGATCGTCACACGTATAACCATCAGGGCACGGATAGCATTCATATCCCCCAGACAATAGATACAAAGTACCCGCAGGACATTTCAAGCAAGTTTGAGCCGACGTGGCACCCTCATCTGGCTGATATGTTCCTGGCGGACACTGTTTAAACGTGGTTCCCCCAGTTGTGTCACAATACGTTCCATGAGGACACTTCATGCAGATCGCTTTTCCAGTGTTTCCATTATACGTGCCTGTGGGGCATGCCAAGCAACTTTGAGCAGATACTGCACCTACATTTGGCTGATATGTTCCTACTGGACACGATTGGAAGCTGGTGGCTCCCGTTCCAGGACAATAACTTCCAGCAGGACAGTTTACGCAGTTTGCCTGTCCAGACACTGAATTGTAAGTGCCAGCACGACATTGCAAACAAGAAGTAACCGAGACGGCACCCTCGTTTGGCTGATATGTTCCTGATGGACATGGTTCGTTGGTGCTGGTCGCAGTTTGAGGACAATAACGGCCGGCAGGACATGGTAAACAATTGACATTATTCATCACATAATACGTTCCTGGTGAACAAGCTCCATTGATGCTTCCAGGTAAAAACGTGTGCAACAGGACAAGTTGAATCAACGACGATATAATAGGTACTTTCATCTTCGATGTATATATCTAGAATGTGGAATTAGGAGAAGGTATGATCAAGTTGACTATGACCGAAGATGTAAATACATAGAGGACTCTGAAAGATTTTCTCTCGACTCATCTAAAGGTCTTGATTTGAATGTAACTATTCCGCGTAAATGCTTAAATATATTTATGATTCTGTGCAAGATTTCAGACGCACTTTTCGTTGTATTGTTAAAATTCTTTCAGGTCGATGGTGCAACATGTTTCAAATGCATTTCGAACTCTCATGAGAGCACTTTCAAGCAATGATTTAACACAACTAGAGTGTCAGTGTGAGCGTGGGTGTGGGGTATGCGGTGTGTGTTGACGTGGAGAAAAGATCATCATCCACACCGACACCCACACCCACACTTACACCCAACATTCATACCTTCAAGAGGCAGATTGTACCAAACAGTGGAGCTAGTCGACTTGTGCTCGGAACCAGAATAGCACACTTAGCACAAGTTCCTAGACGAAGCCGAGAAGGAAATACTTTTCAAGGTAGTTGCCCTCCATAGGAAAAAAGTCGAAAATTCGAGCTTTAAGGCGATTAGTTTAAGCTGTGAAACATCAGATTATACCAATCGATACAGTTCATCAATTTCTACATGGAACAAGAATAGCATAATTGGAACAAGTTCGTGGATGAATCCGGGTAGGATATATTCGAATCTGGTCATAACTTCACTCACATTAAGGCAAGGGTTTTTTAAGAAAATAACGATTTTTTTATAAGGCTTAACCGAATGCAACCGGGATCGGAGAAGCGAAATCTGCAATTGGATACTCGAAATTTTGAACTTGATTTTTCTCACTAAAAGAAAGGTTTTTCGAAAAAATAAACGATAGTTTATAAAGTTTGATTGAAGGTCATCGGGATCGGGTAATCCGAATCAGAAATTGGTTT